TTGGTCGGACGAACCCACTTTCTCTAATACCAACTTGTAACACCCCCAATTCTACCCGACAATTAATATAAAGATCAGAGTTACAAAATTATGATGACCTAATCATGATGCTACAATTACAACTTAAAACAACGACATTCATTGCAGATACATAACACATTAAACTTGGATGGACCAATGACAACATAAATTAATCCTTTAAAACCAACAACTTCCATAGCTACGCAGCGAAATCAAATATTCAACTTAAAAGAATATAACATCTTTATCCAATTGAAACACTTCAAATAATAAGTATTTAACGAACAACAACTTAAGATTCAATCAACTAAAATAATAACAACAATAAAACAACAAGCGTTCATTCCCCGAGTGTTACGTATCAGAGCAATGACACCGACTCGAACTACTGAAGGTAAACAACGTTCACTCTGGATTACCTGAATGTTACCAACATTAGGGTAACATTCAAACAGAAGGGGTGAAATATCTAACAATATAATCTATAGTATGATAATACTACATTAGAACTAGTCTATGCCAAATCACCATTTCACAACTTTAAACAACGACAATCACAACGAAAACATCAACGAAACCTAATAAATAATTTATCAACACAACAACTCAATATGCAATGTGAAATGCAACTTGTTACTATGCACATGCACATGGTATCAATGGAGCAGAACTCCCAACTTATAAATCTTGCCAATTAATAGAGGCGTCAACAAGGCATAAGCCTTCAACTTAATATTTTGCCAATCCATGCCAACTTAATAAGCATCAGCTCCAACTTGATATGCGATGTATGCAACAACATGATTAAATGCAACATCAACAACAACAACATAACAACATTGGCATAAGCCTATAACTTAATAATTTCCAATCAATAGAGGCAACACAACAAAATTCATCACCTGCAACATCAACAATTAATAACAACAACCAAACAACGTACCCATTCCAATAACATTATTAACATGTTCCTACTAAGGTCATTCCACTAAATTATTCTGCCATAAGCCTTATTAATGGTTTTCAGCTAAATTTAGGGAAGTTTTATTTTCCTGCTACTTAAATTACATCTACTGCTAATATATCTTGGGTACTAATACTGTTATTTACTGCTAGTTCTGCAACTAAAACTATACCAGATATTAATTTCACAATTTACTAAGTATCCTTGCCAAATATTCACTGCTATTAACAATTTTCATTACACTGTCTGCTAATTACTAATTTTATGCTAACATTTACTACCCTGTTACTCATCATTGTTAACTATGTAACCAACCAATTACCTCTGCTATATGTACACCTACTTTGCAAAATAAATTAAATTGATAACTCTGCTACTGTAATCAACCCTTTTCTGTAACAACTGCTAAGTAACAGACACGTAAGGCACCAAACAATTAAAAGAAGATGCAGTAAATGAATTTGTGCCCCTCGGCATGTGAGCCGTGCCCCTCGGTACAGAAATTTGGTGCCGGTTGGCACCCCATCACCACCATACTTGTGACGCTCGACACAATTCCATAATTCCAGTTACAGTTCTGCAACTTTGTCCAAATTTTCATGCGACCAGTAATTCCTTCTCTGCCCAAATCTCAGACCAACACACTAATTATACCCCCATTATTATATGGTAATTTCCAACACTCGATTCATCGATTGAATCACTGCAACGTTAGCACAATTATCACAAATGCCAAACAACAATTTATTCATACCACAGTTACACAAAGCAACAATTTCGCACAACCCAATTCCCACGTAGCATGCATCATATACCCAATTATAGAGTCAGAACCCCACCCTTACCTTGGATTGAAGGTCGCTCTACGATTTTTCCGATCGAACCCTGCTTTGCTTCCCTTCCTTCTTTGCTCTGCAACTTCTACGTTCTCTTTCTCTCTTCCAACCCCGATTCCTCTTCTTGACAAAAACTTATTTTTCTATTATTATAACTAAAATCAATAATAATAGAATTTCTATTGGGATTAATTCTCACACCCCCTTAGTACTACATATCACCATATAAAATAGGCCCACGTGAATATTCTATTAATTCCAACATTACTATTTATTATTAATTAACTAATTAATTAATTAATAATAATCTAGTAACTTATACCAATAATTCTCAACATCTCACAACTTAAACAAATAATCCAAAAAATTAATTTAATTAAATAATTAATTAAATAAACGGGCATTACAATCCCCTCCGCATCTTTGTTGGAAAAGTTGATTTCTAGCAAGGGGGTTGCTTTCTCAATGGGCGAGGCACTAGAAACATGCATCACTTTCTATGAGTACGTTTTCTTGGATGAAATGGACCTTCCATCTTCCACAAAGCCTTAGACTATCGTATTCAATGTGTTATATGTTCGAACAGACTCATGTCCTTCCTCATTACTCCAACCCTTTCACGGTGAGGGTGTTCTCCAACATGATTCTTTTCGCGGTGAGGTTATTCTTTCTGGACCTTGTAAATTTCCCTGCACATATCTCGACAATCGACCTTCCTAAATTAGCCTCTCACTCCCTTGTTTTAGATGGTGAGAATCATCTTCTTGGTTAGGTTTTGGTAACTTGTTATTAAAAATATCGGGATGCTTATATACCATCTGACAACTGCTTCCTTTAACGTCCCCTCCACCAGCTTGCACTTAAGATAGTCAGTCACCCTTATCATAGCCATTTATGTGTTAATAGAAATTATATGCTCTTGAGTGGGTGCCAAGTGTACATGTAAGATACAATGATTGATAACTCAACTAACACAGAGCCAAACAAAGGCACACGTATGATCGTATATATCGTATAAAATGTGTTTGTCTTTTCCTTTGTGTTAGTATCCCTTATATATGATCGTATATATCGTATAAAATGTGTCTGTCTTTTCCTGTGTTAGTATCCCTTATATAGTAGTCCTATTTTGTCCTATATTTAAGGATTATAAAATCCATTTGATAGCCATTATATCCATCGTTCCCTTGTCTGCATGTTCTCACCCATTATGATCATTAATCCTCTTTGAATGTGTTGTTCAATACACCATAGTTCAAGTATCCCTTTCGAGTTGGTTCTTGACCGACTTGGTTGATTTGGCCCATTTCTTGTTTTTACTCGATTTTTCCCTATGGGCTGGAGAGCTCTATCGACTCTAAGCTAGAACCTGACCCAATAGACCAGACATAATATACTTATACAATTTCCCATAACCACGAGTTTTCCATGCTAAATCTCATGCCTCAAAGACTTTTGAGTCTTACGAGGGTAAATGTTTGTATCTTATGGACAAGTTAGAAAAATAAATTTATGATATACTTATTTATAGTAGATAAAATAGGTTGCACAACTAACATATAACTTTATCAAAACAAAGTAATTATCTTTGCGTTTATACTCAGTTACCTTCTTTTCACTTTTCTATCTTTTGAGCATGTAATCCTTGTTGTTAAGAGTTTCACATAGGACAATATATGACATAAACACGTGTTTATAAGTAGATAAATCATCACTCTATAAGCTAATTTTTTATGGTTGAGTTAGATCCAACTATATTTCTTAACATGATATCAGAATTTATTTTAAGATTAAGTGGATCACCTACTATCAAGTTTCCGTTATCAGGTCATCCACAATTTATTTTTATGCTCCAGATTTCTAATATTAGACGTGAATGGGCGTATCAAGAGTCACTCATAAAAAATATATGACTTAAATACATACTTATAAGTAAAGACAATTCTCATTCTATAAACCTGTTTTGTTTGATTGAATTAGACCCAATTACATTCCAGAAATTTTATTTTGTTATCTTCTAATAACCCTTATATCTATATCCCGCTTGAAATTCTCTTTTCAAATTTTTTGAATTTAAAGTATAACTAAACTTATCACTAATAGACTACCAAACTGTTCCTAATTAGTAGAAATATTAGAGTTGTTAGCTTAATAGCTGCTCTAGTTGAACTACATGCCCGTTCTTAGCTTAATAGCTGCTCTAGTTGAACTACATGCCCTTTGTTAGCATTTCATTTAAATTATCGACATTTTTTTTTTTATATTTATCATTCAATATAGGAGCGAGGGATTCGAACTCTTCTAGAAACAATTTCCCTATTATGAAAACAGAGATAAGGCTGCATACAACCGACTCCCGAGTCTATAAAATGAGAACCTCGTGAACTGAATTACCCATATAATTAGAAGTTTTTCAATGCTAATTTCTTACACAGCTCAACATTTATCAACTTTTATCTTACATGAGAATTTCATGAGACCATGCTTTTGTTCGTTAATTTTTTTTCTTACCACAAGCATAATTTTCATTAAAAATAATACACACACTTTTACAACAATGCTAGCTCTTATCTCACCACTTTAAAACATAAGGTCCACCAAATAAAAATAAAATTCATATGAATATGTTTCTAGCATTGTTTAATTTTCACACCATCATAATGAGGGAACTAAATGCAATCTACTAAAGATATTTATGTGCATGATCCTTGTGTTATGTGTTGAGGAATCACAACCATAATTCCAATCGCATTGGCCGCATTTTGCTGGAAACAAAAGTTCACAGCAAAATCCGACCAAAACCGCAATTAAAACCATGGGCAATGTCTTAATACATTGCTTAGAATAACAAAACCAGATATGAAAAGAAAACATCAGTTATGGGAAGAACATTAATCTGATTATAATTTCTAGTTATTCCATTTTGCACTTTTCAGAACACTCACTCATATGCACACTCAACATTTATTCCAAAAAGTCATTAAAAAATTGACAATTTGAAGATGATATATATACACTTTAACAGAACTTCCACTATGAATTATTAATATATAGTAACTTGCACTTTTGATTCTACATCCACTCCAAGAGCTAAACTTGTTGCAACTTGTGTGCTATAGTGCTTATAGTAAAATTTCTAAGATTTTTAGAGAATAGAAGAAACTAGTCATTTTTTGAGAATGAAGCATTCTCATATTTTACCATTGTGTTTATTTTTCCTTACTTTATTTCTTTTAGTTCAAGGTAGACATCATTCACATAGGAAACATAAGCATTCACATTCTCATAAATCAAATAAAACTTTTCTTTCACAACCTCCACCTTCTCCTTCTCCTCCTCCTTCTCCTCGTGACAATGATGATGGCTACTACAATAATAGTGCCTATGGAATTTTTGATGTAAGATCATTTGGTGCTGTTGGAGATGGAATAGAAGATGATACAGACGCGTTTAAGACGGCATGGGACACTGCATGTCAAAATGTGTCACAGGTTAATGTTATTCTTGTTCCTCGAGGCTTGTCCTTCGTCGTTCAGTCTACTATCTTCACCGGTCCTTGTCAAGGTTACCTAGTATTCAAGGTAATATATGTATACTTACTCTATACAAATTTTCTATAACCGGCCATGCAGTCTGTCCAGTCAAATCTTAATTATTGGACAGACTGCATGACCAGTGAAAAATTTCTTGTTAGATGATTAATCATGAAATCTTTTGGTATAATCAATTAGGTGGATGGCACCGTTATGCCACCCGATGGACCCGATTCTTGGCCGAAGAACACCGGTAAGCGACAATGGCTGGTTTTTTACAGGATCAATGGAATGTCATTAGAAGGAAGTGGTTTAATAGATGGAAGAGGACAGAAATGGTGGGACCTTCCTTGTAAGCCTCACAAGGTATTGATGATTTATAATTCTAACAACTTTTTTTCTTCAACAATTTTCATACAAACTTACAATCTCACCAATAAATCCCACAGGGATCAAATGTAACAGCATTAGGACCTTGTGACAGTCCAATTGTAAGTTTTCAAGACCTTAAATTTCTTCATATACACATCTTCTACAACTCAAATTTCATAATGATTGAATATAAATTATAATTGATGTATTCAAAATTCTACATAATGCATGCAGGCTATAAGATTTTTTATGAGTTCCAACTTGACAGTGCAAGGACTAAAGGTGAAGAACAGTCCTCAGTTCCATTTCAGATTTGATGGCTGCAATAATGTCCATATAGATTCAATTTACATTACAGCTCCAAAACTAAGTCCTAACACTGATGGAATTCACTTAGAAAATGTCAATGATGTGAAAATATATAATTCTGTGATTTCCAATGGTTAGTTGCTATAACATTTTTTTTTATATCCTACTTAGTTTATTGCATGAAATGTATTAATAATTATACATGGATGATTTATCTTTATAGGTGATGACTGTGTCTCCATTGGATCTGGATCCTATGATGTTGATATAAAGAACATTACATGTGGACCTAGTCATGGAATTAGGTAACTTTTAGTTATTAAGGTGAAATTATATTCTTTAGTACGGACACATATGAAAAAAAGGTGTGTATCTGTTAATGTATCTGTGTCGTGTTTTTGATGTAATCTTATCTAAAAAATATGTGTCTGTTTCAATGTGTCTGTGTCGTGTTTCTGGTGTGTCCGTATCAATATTTTTATATCGTGTTTCTGATGTGTCCATGCTCCAGTATATGAATATTTTTATACTTTGCTCATGATATATAATATCTAACAATAGTTATTTATGATTCAGCATAGGTAGTCTAGGAAACCACAACTCCAAAGCATGTGTATCAAACATAACAGTGAGAGACTCAATCATAAAAATGTCAGACAATGGAGTTAGAATCAAGACATGGCAAGGTGGATCAGGAACAGTATCAGGAGTAACATTCAACAACATTAACATGATTAGTGTAAGAAATCCAATCATAATTGACCAATTCTATTGCCTAACCAAAGATTGCACCAACAAAACCTCAGCAGTATTTGTTTCCAACATTCTTTACACAAACATCAAAGGAACATATGATATAAAAAGTCCTCCTATGCATTTTGGTTGTAGTGATTCTGTCCCTTGCTCCAACATAACTCTCTCAGAGATTGAGCTTCTTCCATCTCAAGGAGATATAGTTAATGATCCTTTTTGTTGGAATGCTTATGGAGATTTGGAGACATTAACTATTCCACCAGTTTCTTGTTTGTTAGAGGGAACTCCTCAATCTTTGTTGGACTATGATGCTGGTCATTGTTGACCAAATAGATTCTTTAATTTAAGGAAAAGTGTGTTCATGTTCATGTATATATATGATTGATTGTTAGAAGTTGTTAAGAGATTGATATTAATATGAGATTTGATTTTGAATCTTATGTTGTGATTGATGAGGAGTTGTGTTTTTTAATGCTCTTCCTTGAATGAAAACTATGTTGCATGATTATGAACTTGCTTCTATCTTAGAGTTTAATTTTAGGCTACTATTATATACTGTTATATTGTTGAAGATATTGATGAGAAGTGATGCACAAAATATTAATTTTGAAGTAAGTATTGCATTATAATTAAAGTAACCCTTATTTTAAAATAAATTCGTGCGTAATTGATATTTATATTGACATAAATTAAATGAGTTTAATGTTTATATACCGCTATGCAAAACAACTTTAAAGATGTGTGTAAAAGATATTGGATCGAACTCTATTATAATCGAAAGGTAGTTTCCGGTTCGACGGGGAATAAGCATGAGGTCGAAACTTGTTCGCATGTTGTTGTCGAAGTAGTGCGTGTTATAGTCGGAGTTGTTCTAATATGCATTAGTCGATATTGCTAGGTTTGTTAGCATTTTGAATTGGACATGTTTGTTATGTCCAATTGTTTAAGTTATCTTGTACCCTAAATTAGCTTGTAATGTGTATTTAGAAAAAAACCCGTTAGTTTAGTATATTAGGTTTATTATAAATAGCATACTAGTCTCTCATCATTGCATACAACAAATTCTAATTTAGAGTGAGAGTGTTATTTGTTATTCTTGTGTACGTGTAATCTTGTTTAAAGAGAAAGTAAAGAATAACAGTTATAATCAATCCTTGTTGTTCTTCGTGTTCTATCATCTTTTCTACCATGTTTGTTTCTTGATCATAAAGAAACAATTTATATTTTGTTTCAAAGGCGTCTCATTTCACAACAAATTGGTGCAGTCAGCGTGGAGAAGATGCCTTCAACAAAGTATGAGATTGAAAAGTTCACCAGAGTGAATGATTTCGGTCTGTGGTGCTTGAAGATGAAAGCCCTACTAGTTCAACAGGGTTGTTTGGAAGTGTTGAAAGAAGTGACTGTAACGCCCGTTAATTTAATTAATTATTTAATTAAATTAATTACGGATTAATGGTTGAAAATATTGTTGAAATTGTTGAAGTTGCGAAATGTCGAGAAATGTTGATTTAAGTTGCTAAATTATTATTTGGTTGATATTTAATTGATTGGTTGATTAATATTAGCAATAATATTAATATAGATATTAGAATAATATAAGATTTATTAGTTGGGCTCATTATTTGGTTGTGTGGAGTAATAGGTGGGGTGTGAAAGTGAGGCCCAATAAGAATATTAATAATTATAAGGTTAAGCTAATTATAAGGAATTAGGTTAATTGAACAAGTCTTGGAGAATTTTGTGAGAACGTGAGAAGTTGCAAAGTTATAGAGAAGAGGCAAAAATTGGAAGCTACGGCGAGAGACTTTAACTGGTAGAATAGAGCGATCTCCAATCCAAGGTAAGGGTGAGGTTCTTGCTCTATAACTGAGCATATGATGGATGATATGTGAGATTTAGGTTGCTAAAATTATTACTCTGTGTTTTGGGTTGTTTGTTGTTATGCTTTTGAAATTGATAATAAATTGATTCTGTCAATGAATGATTATTGCAAAAAAATTATTCTGGATTGATGTGGTATGGTGTTATATTGCTGCAATTAAACTATTGGGTTGATCTGAGATAAGCCTCGAAGGAAATTTGCATAGTAGCAGGTTGGGTCACTGTAAATGATGTGTGTCGAGGGGAAAGACTTAGGGTGCTGTGATCGGTGGATCTGGAACTGACTGTTTAACGCTGGTTCGCGAAATGTCGCGGAAGCAAGAGTCGCCACCGTCTTTTATTTTCTCCAAATGGAAAGGACAAAAGCACAGAAAAATTCCTTATAGAGATTGCTCTCGGTTCGGGAGGTAGGTTATAGAAAGGGAAGGTGTTAGCACCCTTTCTATCCATGGTTATCCATGGGCTCTTAGATACTTGCTCATTGTGTTTTCAAAAATGTTTTGTTTGCTTTTCAACCGTGGGTTTAAAAAGTTTCTTTGAAAATTCCAGTTCGACTCTTGTATCAGTCCTCAAGAGTGTTTGAAAAATGCTTTCGAAAGCTTTTTGAAAATGTGTTGGTGTGAAAAGTATTTTTGATTTGTTTTGTTTTGAATTAGAGCAAGTATCCACGAGTCGTCTACCTACCCTAAGGAATTCGTCTGTGTAAATGTCCTTTAAAGTAGTGCCATCCCACCATTGAGAGGTAGGTAGCACCACCGTTGGAGGTGTTCGGGTCAATTCGAGGTTCGGGACATGGTGATCACCAGAGCAATGGGAAGACACCTTAGAAGCTACCCTCATGCCAGGTTCCCGGATCATGAGGACTTACTAAGCCATCCTCTACTCGACGATCACCTTTCGAGGCAAGGCAACAGTGAGGCGTACCCTAGGGGTGGTGTGTGATTTGTGTGTCAGATTCATTTATTTTATCTTGTCATGTTATTGGTGATCTACACGTTTGTTTTTATTCAAGGCCATCCATTCTTGCATGCATTTATTTAACAGTTAAAAGAGCGAGAAAGGTAAAGTTCTAAACTATTACAAAAGGCGCGGGTCCACATCGCCAAAATTTCCAGGACCCGATTTGACAGAAAATAAATAAATAAAGTAAAGTGCGAAAGATAAATATTTACATGGCTTTGGGAGAGGTACATAAAAATTATAAGAAACGAAATAAAACGCGCGAATTGAATTAAGATTAGAAACGAGGGCATTGGACCCTTTTTAAGGAAATTAAATTATTAGCAAATTAATTAAATTAAAGAAAAAGAAATTATTTTTGGTTTTTTGTATTTATGAGAATTTAATGGAATTAAAAACCTAATTCTACAATTTTTTTATTTATTAAGAAAATACGACAATTATCTAAAATTAAGCCTAATTAATTAATTGCAACTTGATTTATAAAAATAACTAATTAAGAATTAATAATTAATAATTAATATAGTAAAATAAAAAAAGGATGAAAAATGCTTGAAACCCTAATTCTACCAATTTTAGGTTTTATTGAAAAATATTAAGATTTAAACCTAAATTAACACTAAGTTGATTAATGAATTTTATTTACAAAATATTAGTTAAATAAAAATATTTATTTTTTTGTCTTTTCTGATTTTTTGTTGTTTTTATGTTTTTCATGAGAATATTAAATTAATTAAAAAAACAATAATTGAAATGAATAAAAAGAATGGAAAAAAAATGTAAAAAGCTTGCAAACCTAGGGGGGGTCTGTCCCCAAATGAGAGGTGTATTGTAGCAATCTTGGCCCAAGGTTTTAAGGCCCTTTTTGACTTCCCTTGCCAGCGTGTGAAGGTGTTGACTCATGTCCACTATGTTCTTCAGATCCTGGCCCTTGATTGAGTGCAGTGGGACGCGTGGACGGCTTGATAACGTGGATGCATGATGGACGCTAGCATTGAAATTGTACACAAGTGTTAATGGAAAAATAATATGGAAAGGGGTGGGGACCTGGGATCGAACCCAGGTCCTAGAGGTTACCCTTCCTTCGCTTGACCAGTGGAGCCACTTATGCGCGTTTGTACATATGGTAATCAATAAATAATATGAAACAAGATGATGGTTAGTGAATAAATTCAGCGCGAAAATTCAAATGGCCCTATCATGCTTTGACACTTCATCATCTCCTTCGTTTGGCTTTTTTTTCCTGAAACAAAAAAAGAATGGGCAACGGTTTTGAACCGTCCCCAAAGGTAACATTCTGGAAAATAGCGATTAGGCCGTCCGGCCACATAAATTAGGCGCGAGGGTTGATTTTGAATCGTCCAAGCATGCTGAGTTCGTTCATGGTGTTGGCATGTCGTAATTTTACCATATTCAAAAACCCCTAATTCGAAAGCTGAAGAACCCTAAAAAACAACAATGGCAGATTCGCGTATGGGTGATGAAAATGCAATCAAATTATGTGGTTAGCTTCAGAATCATGCCATTAGTACAAATCCATAAAAAAATGCAATGAACATGCTTAAATATTAAAACACGATTATGCATTTTATTGAAAACAGTTTGAACTCTATTCACCAATTCTGGGCGTTAGAGGTCGTGCTTTTGGTCCAGGAGGTTTCCCTGATGTCTCAGGAAGGCAATGGACTGATTACTTTGCCTTGCAATGCTTTGGAATCACGATTTCAGTTTTGAATTTTTTGATCAAAATTGCAAAGTTCTCTTTTGTCTTTCTGCGCAGCTTGGACCTTTTTGAGGAGTAGGGTTTGCATTAGTATGTATAGGTGAACGATTAGGGTAAGAATTCAGAGCCAAAGGATCAAGGAATTGATGGAGAGGATATTGATTTTCATGGCAAAATATTTCAAATCTTTTTCAAGCATATTTGATATAAATCATGGCCAATTGACTTGATTCTTTCTATATTTGGTCTTGCACGAAATCTTAAGCTTATTCCTTGCATAAAAAGATTTGATTGCATTGGTTTGGTATTTTTTATATATTTTAATTAATTAAATGAATTTCTAGCATTTAAAAATTCAAATAAATAAAATAAAAATGATAAAAACTTCCCTTTGGGCCAAATGGTCGTGCACATGCTTTGGATGATGAATTGTGGAAGAAAAAGAGGCCCATTAGCATTTTTAGGTCATTTGAATCAATGTTGACTTTTCAAAATATCCAAAAATTTCCCAACTTCCACAAGGCATAACTTGCTCAATATTTAAGCTTCGCTCATGTTCTTGGACATTTTGGAAAGGTCTTTGAGTCCTCTAACCAATGTATTTGGTCCCATGTCATTTTGATTTACCAATCTCAAGTTATGGCCTTTGACTTAAAGTCCCTTTTTGTTGACTTTTGAAAATGACCTATAATGTTGAAATTGATAACTTTTTGTGGGAGCATTTCTTGGACTTGGAGTATGAAGAGGAGTTGTAGGGAATG